AGATAGAAAGAGAGAGAGAGTGTGTGTGTGTGTGTGTGTGTGGGTGTGTGTGTGTGTGTGTGTGTGTGTGAATGTTCTGTCGTGCGGAATTCTAAAAGCGTTATTTTAATACCACTGTGACACACACATGTGAGATCCTTAAAGGGACAGATCACCTAAAAATATCAGTTCTGTCATTTCATTCCAAACACATGCTGCTCTTTTCCATGCAATGATAGAGAGCAGGAACAAATGCTTTACAAATGACTAAAGAGCATCATAATTAATGTATGAAAACAGTCATGTTCTGATTTGAAGGTCTTTTAAATTCATGAGTACTTTTGCATATTCAAACATCCCAGCTTACATGTTAACGAATGTTTTGCCGATGACTGTCATTCTTGGAGTGAATGGCTTGGTGAACTGTCCCTTTAAAAACCGGTGAATGTGTCTCGTGATCACATGACCTCCATGACCTTGTGCCCCCTGACTGACTGAACACACACACACACACACACATGAGGATGAAGAGGATGAAGAGGATGCACTGACCCCACTGCAGGAAGCGCTGCACGTGTTTCTCTCTGAGCAGAGCAGGCGAGCTGAACTCCTGATAAACTCCCACCAGCAGGTCCAGCAGCGTCTGCAGGCTGACGGAGCCCTTGACATGACCTGCCGCGCTGTGGTCCGGCTCGATCACATGAGCGGCCCCTGTGGGCCCGGGGCCCGTGGACATGGCGGAGATCCGGCTCATCCACAGCCCTGCTCCATGATTCCTGAATCCCAGTCCGTCTGTGTGCTTCTCTGTGTCCGTGTGTTTCTCCAGCCCTTTTTTGGTGTGTTGCTCAGCCTCTCTCTCTCTCTCTGTGTGTGTTATTGTGTATTTTGTTCTGTGTCTCTCGTGTCTTTATTGCTCTGCTATCAAACTCAGGTCACTCACAGCTTCTCTAAACACAGAAGTTGGTCGGTTTGTTCGAATGAACTTGAACTCTTCTCTGTCTTTCTCTCTCGTCTGCTTTTGCTCTTCTCTTCCTCTGTTTATGCACACGTGTCTCTCTCTTTCCTCTTTCTGTCTCTCTGTGCAGTTGAGAGTGATACATTGTAAAAAAATCACATCTGTCTTGTGTTTCAGTAAAATATCAATTCATCTTTAAAACTAAATAAATTCACTTGAGAAGAATTGAGAAGAATTCACTTGATTTAGGGCACGTTTTACATGCTTAATATACAACATGCTAAACAAACATCTATAAAGTAAAGGGGTGTTTGCAGTGCAAACCAGTCTGTCATTATTGTACGTTAACAGGTTTGTGAAAATTATTTGTGAAAAGACAGTTTGTTTCATCCTCTGAGTGTCTGTGTGATTATGTGTCCTCTGTCTCCCTCTAGTAGTGTGTTACACAAACACAACCAGGTCCAGCTAAAGTTCCTGAAGAAACACCGGGCTCATTCATTTCACTTTTGGTCTGAAAGGGCTTTTACATTTGCCAAAAATAGAACTTTTTATATTAAAAACAAATAAGCAAGACCAGCCCAGATGAGAAAAAGCAATGCAAAAGTAACATAATACATTACTTTCCATAAAAAGTAACTAAGCAGTGCAGTTAGATACTTTTTTAGGGAGTAACGCAATACACTGGTGAATCCATCCGACTCATCAGAGGAACAGAACACAGACAGAGAGTGAGAGGCAGACATCAGGAGGACATTCACTGAACACTGGACACACGCAGTGGACACTGAACACAGAACAAGAGGACAGACTGAGCGAGCTGATCTGAACTCACTAACTCACAGCTGAAACTCATGGCTTATGCATGTTAATACCATGGTATTCTTAGAAGAACCTAGGAATGCAATAGACAATGAATATAGTATTTATTCAGTATCATGCTGTAATATAGCAGGCCTATCACCAGTGATTTTATTGTGTAAAGACAGTGTGTTGTGATACGAGCAACATGAAAGAAGCACAGTGATGGAGGAAATCACTGAGACAACCAATTATAATGTTAAACAAATATATACACCACAGAATGCGACCAGTGACCAATCACAGTCCAGTGTTACTGAGTGATGTGATGTTTGCAGTGCAGTTACCTGAGGCTCATTCTGTCCCTGATATCACGGAGATGTCTGTTTGACGTCTGCATTTACATCTGCAAGATGTATTTTTTAGAGTGTTTGCTCATCTGCAATACGTCTATAGGACATTTTCTATCAGATGTCAAATAGACATTTAGAAGATGTCTTTAAGATTTAGAATGCATGTAAAACTGACATCTTACAGACGTCTATCAGATGTTTGTACACAGCAGATGCTTTCCAGATGAAGCAATCTTTAACAGACCTCTTGCAGACGTGCCTGTGCTATCTGGGGTGAGATCGGTGTTTTGAGATTACAGTAAGTCACTGAAGGTCGTGCGGGGTCATTCAGACTCTCAGTGACGCATGAAAAGCTGTTCCCTCATTAAACTCTGACTGGGATTACAGCTCTTCCTCTAGTGGATTTAACACTGACACTATACACAAACACTGCACATGAGTGTGCTTCACATTAAGAGCGTGTCATTGCACATGTGTGGCTGTCATTAGACCGTTTGTGCATTTATTAAAGCATCTTTACACTGCAGAAGTGACACATGCAGCATCATATATACCACAAAAAGTGCATTTATACAAGCACATTTCACATATTTACACTGGAATCGGTGAATCATGCTTGCATGTCATATTGTTGCAGTCTTACATGTATCAGCTCAGCAGTGTGTGTGTGAGTGTGTGAGTGTGAGTGTGAGTGTGAGTGTGAGTGTGTGTGTGTGTGTGAGTGTGTGAGTGTGTGTGTGTGGAGAGCAGAACACACGTCATATCAGGTATCAGACATTCCTCACATGTATTAACCAGCTTCTCACAACTAATGGTCTTTAAAGAGTTACATAAATGTTAGGACAAAACGTTCTTAAAATAACGTTTATGGAACATTCTGACATCAGAATTCTCGGAATGTCCTCATGATGTTGTTTGTACTTGATGAACATTCTAAGAAATGTTTTTGTAACCTTTAAATAATGTTCTAATCACAACAAGAAAACTGGACGCCAACACAGATACTAAAAATCTGACTGAAGACATTTCAACATTTGCCCAGTCGTTACGGCTAAAATTCACAGTATATTTGTTTGATAACCTGGATAAATAAGCGTTAAAGACATAAGTGATCATGATGATAGAGTAACATACCTCTTGAACGGCTCTCTGTGTGGCCGTATCTGGAGACTGTGAGTCCTTCAGCAGCTGCAGCACCTGCTGTAAACCCTGTTCATCCGGCTGCCACTCCATCCTGAGCCACACACAGACACACACACAGAGACACACACAGACAGACAGACAGACACACACACACTCACACACACACACACAGACAGAAAGACAGACAGACACACACGCTCACACACAGACAGACACACACACACACACACACACACAGAGCAGGAACAGTAAGAGCAGTATGAAGCATGTGATTGGCTCAGATCCTGGTCTGTGGTATGTCCATCAGTGTGTGTGAGTATGTGTGTGTGTTTAGACTGTCAGAGAGCAGGACAGGAGCAGAGGTGGCTGATGTTCTGGAGCTCTGGACAATCTCAGCAGCGTCGTGAGCAGGAATAGGTCAGACGTGCAGCTGAAGAACGTTTCATCTGTGAGATCACGTCTCCTCTAATGGAGTCCAGATGTGCTGCGGGAGCGCCTAATACGCCTCGTCCTCCTCTCCGGCTCGCTCCAGCTCTCACAGGAAATGCTCCAGGTTCTTGGCCCTGAAGGGAACATGCCTCTGTAACCACCTCCAGATGGAGCAACTCACACACACACACACACACACACACACACACACACACACACACACAGTGTCCAAACTCGCTGCTCTCTATCTCTCTCTGCTCAAACCACAGACACGATCCTGCACCCATTGACTGTACTGGTTGTGGCTGGTTTATGCTGGTTAGCTCCTGTCCAGATGATTGACCAGCACTGTGTGTAGGATGTTCTGCTGGTTAATGCAAATGATTTTCTTACTGGGTATTTTTGTTTTGTTTTCCAGTCCAGATATCTCAGAAATCTGGTTTTCCATTTCAATTCAGTTTATTTTTCTGACAACACTGGAAGATATTTATTCTAGTTTTAAGATTTCAATAATTTTCAATTTTAAACCAAACTTAATATCTTAAGTCATTTTGCATCTCCAGTAAATATATCTTGATTTAGGGATTTTTGTTTTAGATATTTGTAGGCTACTGGAAAACAAGACAAAAACACGGAGTAAGAAAATCACTTCGTTTGCAGTGTGGTTCGAGTTCAACAATCGTCTGATTTAAAATTCTGTGTGAGAAACAGGATTATTATTATTTTTAACTAAAACTAAACCATTTCTTTTGTTACTAGAAATAAAATAAACATGAACTAAAATAAATATACAAAAATGAAACTTATTTTATTTCTGCTAGTTTCCAAGAAAACATTTCCCATTTTCATTTAGTTTAAGATGAAGTACTAAAATAATAAACGGAAACTAAAACTTAAAAACTATTTAAACATATTTAAAACACACACAATTTACCGAAGCATTAACAAAAATTTAAATGAAAACAGAAAATATAAAAATAAAATTAGATTCAAAATATTAACTAAATCTATAATAGTATATCGATACTAAAATAACACTGGTCATCTGAAGAGAATCAGCGTATGTTTACCCGATAACAATATACTAAACTCTGAAAATATTTTCCTTTGCGTTTTTAAAAAATGTGTTAAAGGGGTCATCAGATGCTACATGCACTTTCACAAGTAGTTTGAACTGAAATGTGTGTTGGCAGTGTGTGTACACAACCACCCTATAACGATACAAATCCACCCAGTGTTTTTTTTTAAATCTGGTTAAATGTTTTCCCCTTTCTCAAATCAAGCCGATCTCAGATGCCCGTCTGTGTGACATCACACAGACAGGCCCCTCCCACGATAGTTTGATTGACAGTAGTGTTTCAGCACAGACTGGACTGGTGTCTTATCTTAGCTCCGCCCTGAGTGACGTCACACAGACAGGCCCCTCCCACGATAGTTTGATTGACAGTAGAGTTTCAGCACAGACTGGACTGGTGTCTTATCTTAGCTCCGCCCTGAGTGACTGTCATCAGTCCGGAGCAGATGTAGACTAGAACGACTCCTGAGTGATTGAGATGTTCTGTTGTTGGATGTAATAATGAACAGCAGTCGTCATTTACTCCCGACATCTGAGCCGCTGAAGACGCAGTGGATTACGTTTGTTTCTGAAGGGAATGCGCTCCCGATCTACATAAATGTGTCTGTGTTCGCACGAATCATTCGTGATCCAGCCTCATCTACAGAAGAAGTGAGTGTAAGGTTTTTTTAATGAATCTTTGCAAATCGCCTTTACTAATAATGTGCTAATTAGCAAGTTTTACGATGAATGCGGCTAAAGTAAACAGTCTCTCTGAGAGCAGCCTGGAAGAGAGGGGCGGGGCCAGCAGAGCTCATTAACATTTAAAGGGAAATGCTACAAAAACGGCTTGATCTGAAAAGAGCTGGTTTTGACCGGGTAAAAAGGTGTTTTTTACACTACAATTGAAACATTTTAACCAAACTATGTTACAGACTTTTCATTAAGACCCTAAAGAATCATATCAACTTGTGGAAAATGGGCATCCTATGATCCCTTTAACAGACGACAACTTTTGTCAAAATGATCGTTGTTCACACGGATCCGCGAAAACAACTGAAACACTGTAGTGCTCATGCCAGACCAGTAGGTGGCAATGTTACTTAGTAAAGATACACTACACAAACATGTAACAAATTCATGTTTTCGTAGTTTAGACGGAGACGTTGACAGTATAATTTTCAAAAACCCGTTTTCAAAAGTTTGTATTTTCAGGCCCCAAAACCGCTGTTATCATGCAAATGC